ATTGTGTGTGTGTGAACGATTTAATATTTGTTTTATTTAAATTAGATAAAAGTATATGTATTTATTTATTTACACACACATATATATATATATATATATATATATATATATATATATATATATATATATATATATATATATATATATATATATATATATATACACACACAACAAAACAGCGACCTTCTTGCTGTACGGTGATCATGCTACCCATTGCGCCACTGTGACGCCCCCTATGTTCTTCTTTCATTTGGTTTTCGGCTTAGTCCCTTTATTAATCTGGGGTTGCCACAGCGGAATGAACCACCAACTTATCCAGCAGGTTTTTACGCAGCAGATGCCCTTCCAGCTGCAATCCATCCACACATTTTCATTCACACTCATACACCATGGACAATTTAGCCCACCCAATTCACCTGTACCGCATGTCTTTGGACTGTGGGGGAAACCGGAGCACCCAGAGAAAACTCACGTGAATGCAGGGAGAGCATGCAAACTCCACACAGAAACGCCAACTGAGCCAGCCAAGGCTCGAACCAGCGACCTTCTTGCTGTAAGGCGATTGTGCTACCCACTGCACCACCGTGACGCCCCTATATTGCATTATATTATATCATATTATATTATAATAACACTTGAAGTATACCAATTCACAATATTAACTAGTGGCCTAACCCTAACCCTTAACCTTAACTCTAACCATTGACTTCCATAGTAGAAAAAAACACAATGTAAGTCAATTGTTACCGATTTCCAACTTTCTTTAAAACATCTACTTTGTGAAGAAAGTTTAAGAGGTCTTAAACGATCTTAAATGATTCAATAGGTCTTCAACGGTACATAAATTATGACGGAATAAAAAAAAATAAAGATTTTTTAGAAGAAAGCTTAAAACCTGTAACCATTGACTTGCATTATACATTTTTCTTACTATGAAAGGGAGTAGTTACAGGTTTCAGCTTTTTTTTCTAAATATCTTTGTTTACTATAGTTCACCCAAAAATGTAAATTCTCTACAAAAAATATATATATATATTTTGAAGTAAGCTGAAAACCTGTAACCATTGACTCTTATAGTAGGAAAAAACACAACGGAAGTCAATGGTTACAGATTTCCCAATTTCTTTAAAACATCTAATTTGTGAAGAAAGACAGTTAAACAGGTCTAAAACGAAAAACACAAAAATTATGACATAATCTTAATTTGAGGTTGAACTATATTAAAAATAAATATATTTTGAAGAAAGCGGAAAACTTGTAACCATAGACCTACATTATTTATATTTTCATACTATGGAAGTCAATGGTAACAGGTTTTTAGTTTTCTTCTAAATGTCTTTAATTTTGCATAGTTAACCCAAACATTTAAATTCTGTACAAAAAAATATATTTTGAGGAAAGCTGAAAACCTGTAACCATTGACTTCCATAGTAGGAAAAAAACACAAGGGAAATCAATTGTTACCGATTTCCAGCTTTATTTAAAACATCTACTTTGTAAAAAAAGAAAGTTCAATAGCTCTTAAACAAGTGAACTATATATAAATGATGACAGAATTTTTATGATCGGATGAAGATATGATTTGAAGAAAGCTTAAAACCTGTAACCATTGACCACAATAGTAGGAAAAAACACAGTGGAAATCAATGGTTACCGATTTACAGCTTTCATTAAAACATCGACTTTCTGAAGAAAGACAGTTCAATAGCTCTTAAACAGTCTTAAAAAATTCAATAGGTCTTGAACGACACATAAATGACGACAGAATTTTTATTTTTTGGCTAAACTATTGCTTTAATTAGTCAACTTTTTGATAGTCTCATGTCAAATTCTTTATCGCGCAAACAAACAAAGTCTGAGTTGTCTGTTTTACGAGAACCATCATGACATAGTTGATATTCTAATAAAATAAACCCTAATGTCCTCTAGGTCCTCCAGTGTTGATGAAATCCAACACTGTTTGCTGTTTACATGGGATTTATGAGGCTCAGTGTCACTGGGAGATCTCCGTAATCGACTTTTGCTGGGTGATTAGCGGAGCTCCCGTTACTGTGAAAACATGCATGAAAACACAGGGGAGGCTTTGACAAACTCTTCACAGCTCTGACTCCTGGACGGATGCACATATATCTGAAGCGACAGGGTGCCCGATCTCTCTGACCTGTGTTTGTGCGTTCGTAATCTCGGTGTTGAAGGTCAGCACACAGACCTGAGCCGTCCCCGAGGTCTGCATTGACAAATATGCCGAGAAACTTCGCTTTTTCCTTCAGTGTAATATACAAGAGGTCCTGACACTTATTTAGGGATGCATTCTTTGGCCCTATTCCATGTTAAAGTCCCCATAGAATTGAAATTCGTGATTTTTCTCAATATGTTAGCTAAATATCAGTAATAGTATTGAACACGTCATGTTTTTTTCCTGGATAATAATATTACTTAAGGAGCTGTTGACATGGAATTGGTAAAAACCCAAACAATGCACACATAAAAATAAAACAAAATATCTGAGACATTAGTTATGTGTAATAACAAAGAAATGACACAAGGAGAAAGTGCTGAACTACTAAATTGTGTTTAATACTTTATATTATACTTTTTTTTTGTTGATGTCAGCTTAAAGACGCCTCTCATATAGAGAACGAAGACACATGCATTGCTCAGGTGTGAGTTTCTCACAGACTTCAACAGTGTCAAAATCTTGATGTTTCTGAGGGTCTCGTTTATCAAATCTGAGCTTTAGTTTGTATTCTCTATTGGATTCGGATCAGGTGATTGGCTGGGCCATTCTACAGCTTGATTTTCTTTCTCTGAAAGCATCCGAGAGTCTCTTTAGCTGCGTTTTGGATCATTGTCTTGCTGAAATGTCCACCCTGGTTTCATCTTCATCCTCCTGCTTATGTAGATGTTGGACTGAAGCAGCTGATGTTCATTTACACTGAGGAAGGGCAGAGGCTTGCTGAAGAACTACTGAGAGATTTCAGCTGCTGTCTGGGCTTTCACTGCCGTTCTACACCTCCCTTTCTTCATGTGTTCAATACTTGTTTTCCTGCGTCATTTCATTTTATTATGCATAACTTCATTTGTGAACTAATTAGATTAGTGTCTTTGTGTATATGGGTTTCTTTTGTTGTTACCAACATCTGGTGAAAATTTCAAGTCAGCAGCACCTTTAGAAATATGTTTTCTAAAACAAAAAATATTTTACGCAATGTATTTACACTTTCGTAATGAATGTTTTCTATAAAATGCTTCACAATAATATATTTGTGTATATACATACATTAGATTGGTCGGTACAAGTACCACCGTCCAAAAATCTGTTCACCCAAATAAATATGCTGGGGGAAAATGTTAAAGGGCCATGAAGCCCCCTCGTTTCAGCAGGGTGTTTTCACACCTCTACTTTGGAAAAAGTCAGAAAAGTGGGCGTGTCCAGCTCTGTTTAGGGGGGAGTGTCGGAGGAACTAAATTGGGATGGTGTGGGAGTGTCTATTTGTGCACGCGCGAGTTTCAGAGTCAAAATACACACCCACACAGACAGGAGAAAGTGATGGTGTTTAACCTACATGGACATCTGTAGTCGAATTATTTGCCAAATTATTAAATGGTGGACTTTAACTGCAGTTTGGCTCTTTCATTCAGGGAATTCATTCATGCCCCTCAAGACAAACGAGATATTTGATTCGAGGATCTGCTGCAAGCGTGTATTTTTCATGCAATGTTTGATACCGCATGGCGAATGAGAGAAAAAAAAACCTCTGCATTTCCCGGAAACTTAGATGCACACGGCAGGTAGCGTCAGAAAGCCGCGTGTGTTATTCCGGTCACAAAATGCGGTGCTAACATTTCTGCACTCAGTGCAATAGTTAACTTAATTCGATACGAACAAACTAAATAAACAAAGAGCACTGGTCGCTCACTTACCAAATCTGTAGAGACAGAACAATCACCAGCAACTAGAGCCGCGTCTTTATGGAGAGAATACTACAAGCAAATCCAGATTTCAGCGTTTGCAGATGAGAACAGCTCTCAGGTAAACAATAATCCTCCTTAGACACGTAAGTTATTGTTGTCGAGCGTCGCGTACACTGTTAATCCACACGTGACTCCAGCTGAGCTCTCACAGAGAGAAAATGAAAACGAAACTTAACAGCAGCAAACTATAAAAGCAACACTGTGTGTGTGTGTGTGTGTGTGTGTGAATGTTTCCCTGGAACGGGTTGCAGCTAGAAGGGTATCTGCTGCGTAAAAACGTGCTGGATAAGTTGGTGGTTCATTCCACTGTGGCGACCCCAATAAAGGGACTAAGCCGACAAGAAAATGAATGAATGAATGAATGTTAGTTTCTGGGTGAACTACCCCTTTAATATGATTTACAGAAATATCTCAGAAAAAAGGAACCCACTGTAGATCAGCCCAAAAGCCATTCTGTTGTCATCTAGACTGCACTAAATGAAGCTCAACACCTCAAATTGAAAAGCACACCGGGTCATTCCGGGAACAACATTTAGCCGTAGAGTCCAAAATTAACACTCGCTGATTGCCAAATGTGTGTAAAAGATGTCGGTTTACACGCCAGTTGGCTGGTGGCGAATGCAACGCAAGAAATGGCGAAAGCAGAAATTGAACCGTTTCACAAACGCAACATATAATCAGATAATGTGAGCCACAAGTGAAAAGAGCGATTCAAATCAATTGAAACTGTCGAATTTAAAAACATCTGCTGCGACTTGTGTGTCCTGTTCTAACTTCATCCTCATCTTTCCATCAGGAGGATGCCCAAAAGGCTTTTTCCAACATATGCAAACTATTTTTCATATTAAGGCACAGATATGAATAATAAAATCATCTTTTGTGAAAGTTGAGGTTTAACTTATAGGTAGGGTTCCAACACAGGCTCACTATGAAACCGTAGCCCTATATACAATTCTGGAGATCTCGAAATATGTAGCCAGGAGTACAGTATGTATGGCTGCATTTCGTCTAATACATGAACACTAGTGGGGGGGTTGGCTTACCAGCTGACCTCTTAACTTCATGTAGACGGCTTTTCCTCTGTTACCAGTTTGCCCGGGAGCTCGACATGTAGGACGGGGGGCTTGAGACGCAGAGTAAAGTTGACTGCGACAATGGAGTTTGTTTCTGGCAAAGAACGGGTCCAGAAAGAAGGTAAGACAAAAATAAAAGGCAAAAAAATAAAATAAACAAGTAAATAACAGGCTGAAAACGTGGTAAAAATCAGGAGCCTTTTCTTTTTCTGGATTGCTGATTAAAACACTATTGGTTGGGTTAAGGGAAGGGCGAGGGTGGGGGCATCGTCAGTCAGTCAGACAGAAGACAGCGGCCTCTGGTGGATTTAGATGAGAACAGCAGGCGCGAATGGCACAATGGAAATTTGAGATCTAAAAAAGCGTACACAACGCCCTCTGGTGGATTTGCTAAAACAAAAGCTGCAAAAAAACGTACCTCCTCTGATGTATTTCCTGCTCTCCAAAAATGTATACAGGAGTATGTCTCAATAATGAGCCTGGGTTGACTTTAAAGGACACCTGAACAACATTTATTTAATGTAAAAAAATAGTTTGGATTCATTTAAAAGAGGTAAATTTACTAAATATCTTGATAAAACATGATCTTTACTTAATATTCATAACATAAACTAACAAAAACATTTGACCTTAAACAGAAATCATCAAATTATGTGGTTCTATTTAAAGAAATTGTATCGCAATTCATCCATTTTCCTTCGCTAAGTCCCTTATTTATTAGGTGGCGCCACAGCGAAATGAACGACCTGTATTGTAATTCAAAAATGTAATAATACAATAACAACACTGTTAAAAGTAATCCATAAAATTTACGATTTATGAAACGGCAGCTGTGCTTGCCAGAACTTTAAAGTAAAAATTACGGTAGAACCCATACTTTTTCCCCCTAAATTTTACGGTAAACTAACATTCATTCATTCATTTTCTTGTCGGCTTAGTCCCTTTATTAATCCGGGGTCGCCACAGCAGAATGAACGCAGCGGATGTCCTTCCAGCTGCAACCCATGCAGGGAGAACATGCAAACTCCACACAGAAACGCCAACTGAGCCGAGGTTCGAACCAGCGACCTTCTTGCTGTGAGGTTACAGCACTACCTACTGCGCCACTGCCTCGCCGGTAAACTAACATATTTAATTAAATTATAGTATTACACAAAGTGTGTTTCCAAGTAAGAAAAGCTATACTATCTAAACATTTTGTTACACAGAAACAAAACACAACCATAAGCATATGGTGATGAGAAAATCATAAGATGAACCAGGCACGTGCACACATAGGGCTCAACCTGTGCAGTGCACATGCCCTTTTTAGTCTTGCATAGAAAGTGCACTTCCAAAATGATCTGAAGTGCCCCAGCGTCACAACCCCCCCCCCTCTTTTTTTTTCGTGCACGACATCACCCCCCCCCCACCCCCCACCCCCTTCAGAATTTTCTCCTGCACATGCCCCTTTGACAGTCTCTGCACGGGGCTGTGATGTACCAATGCAAACTAATCAAAGAGCGTTTCCCACAGTCAGAGATTGATGGTGCTCAGCGTCATTAACGCAACTACAAAATAACATCATGGTAACAGACAAAATGAAAACAATACGATAAACATTATTTATCGACAATTAATGTAACTTAAAACTCTAATGTACATCACTGATGGAAAACAAACTAAAAAGATCCATAGTAATGTCAACAAAATGCAGGACCGTCGAGTCGCAGTTATTACGGTTATTATCGTAAATATTAATGACGTACTGTTGACCAGATTTTTACTGTAGCATTTTTTACTGTTGAAATTGTGGTAACTTTTTTTAAAGTGTATGTATTTGTTAGGGAAGGAGGCACTATTTTTTCCTGGATCAAACAGCAGGGTCTAAAAATCTGTGGATTCTACGCCCCATATAGTGAGAGGAGGTGAAAAGGTCATCGGCTAGAATCTGCTCGCTTTCCCACAGGCCTGAGGGCGCAAGGTCATGTCAGGCCAATAATGCAGCGGGCAGTGCAGGAACACATTTATACGGACAATTACAAACAAAACGAAGAGTAAAGTCTGAAATATTTGTATGCATTTGTTTCATATTCATATCCAAAAGATTTGTCATGTACACAAACCCTGCACACAGATTTCGATGTGTATTAATCCATTTGCGGAAAAAAAAAGAAACGTAAAACATTTCTGAGCCGATAGAAGCAGTGATGATTTGATCTCCTCTCTCTTCTTCAAAATAGAAAGAGGAATAGACTGCATATTGTGTTCATCCAATACTGCGTAGAGGAAGAAGAGTTCTTCTTATCAACGAGCTGCGCTGGATTATCCACAAATAAAAAGTTTGTTTCAGGAAATCAGTGGAATGTTGATGCATTGCTTTTGAAACCTCACACATTTCTGTATGTAAACAAATCTTTAACAGAGACTGGCCATACCTCAAAGACTCACACGCAAACATACAGAAGCAGGAGAGGTGTGTCAGTCACTGAATCCAGCATAGGGTTTCTCAAATGCCCGTCACATTCTGTCTTTATATTATGCATTGTGGCTGTCGTAAAGTCATCTGCGCTGAAGGCTCACGTGACATCATTCTGTATTTTGCTTTTTGCATATACGATGGCTCTGAACCGACTCAGGCTAATTCTAAAAACGTACCCCTGTATACATTTCTGGAGAGCGGCAAATACGTCGCAGTAGGTATGTTTTTTTGCAGTTTTTGTTTTCACAAATCCTTTAGAGGCCGCTGTGTATGCATTTTAAGATCTCAAATTTAATCCACCAGAGGCTGCTGTCGACTGACTGACTGACCGACTGACCCCTTTCCTAAACCCAACCGATAGTGTTTTCGAAAGCCATCCAGAAATAGAAAAGCTCTAGTAGCAGCCTGACTTTTACCAGGTTTTTAAATCCACATTCTCACCCTGTTATTTACTTTTGTCGGCTTAGTCCCTTTATTAATCCGGGGTCGCCACAGCGGAATGAACCGCCAACTTATCTAGCAAGTTTTTACGCAGCGGATGCCCTTCCAGCCGCAACCCATCTCTGGGAAACACACACACTCATACACTACGGACAATTTAGCCTACCCAATTCACCTGTACCGCATGTCTTCGGACTGTGGGGGAAACCAGAGCACCCGGAGGAAACCCACGCGAAGGCAGGGAGAACATGCAAACTCCACACAGAAATGCCAACTGAGTCGAGGTTCGAACCAGCGACCTTCTTGCTGTGAGGCGACAGCACTACCTACTGCGCCACTGCCTCGCCCTGTTATTTACTTATTTATTTTAATTTTTGTGTTTTGTTTTTATTTCACCTGCCTTACCTGCAAACGTTCTTGAACCCGGTCATCGCGGTCAACTTCGCTTTGCGTCTCAGGTCCGTCTCAGGTACAGTTATCAAATCGCAGATGAGTTGTTCAGTCACCTTAAATGAATTAAGTCCAAACAACTACTGTACATAGCTACTCAAGCGCTTTGCAATTGCTTCTAGCATTAGTATGCGGCAAGCCACTGGACAAACTGGTAACAGCAGACACACAAGGAGGTAATCGGTCAGCTGGTAGCGCAAAAAGGATCCGCGGCATAACCGATTAGTTTTAAAGACGAAATGCAGCCATGCATACATGTATGTAGTGTATGTGTGTGAACGCAAGAGCGTTTGAGTGTTTCACAGTGCTGGGTTGCAGCAGGAAAGGTCTCCGCTGCGTAAACGTATTATGGATAAGTTGGCGGTTCATTCCGCTGTGGCAACCCTTGATTAATAAAGAGACTAAGCCGAAAAGAAAATGAAGTAATGAATGAACTTTTACATATACAGTTGAAGTCAGAATTATTAGCCCCCCTGAATTATTAGCGCCCCTGTTTATTTTTTTCCCTAATTTCTGTTCTGTTTTTGGAAGATTGTTTCAGCACATTTCTAAGCATAATAGTTTTAAAAAATCATTTCTAATAACTGATTTATTTTATTTTTTCCATGATGACAGTAAATAATATTTTACTAGATATTTTTCAAGACACTTCTATACAGCTTAAAGTGATATTAAAAGGCTTAACTATGTTAATAAGGTGAACTAGGGAGGTTAGGGTAATTAGTCGAGCTATTGTATAACGATGGTTTGTTCTGTAGATTATCGCATAAAAAATAAGCTTAAAGGGGCTAATAATTTTGTCCCAAAAATAGTTTTTAAAAAATTAATAACTGCTTTTATTCTAGCCGAAAAAAAACAAATAAGACTTTCTCCAGAAGAAAAAATATTATCAGACACACTGTGAAAATGTCATTGCTCTGTTAAAAATCATTTGGGAAATATTTAAAAAAGAAAATAAAAATCACAAGGGGGCTAATAATTCTGACTTCAACTGTACATACTGCTGTCAAAAGAATTTGAAAACATTTCCCTCAATCCAAGCTCTCTTTAAACGATCAACTTGAACAGTAAAGCCAATCAAGTGTGGATTTCATCGACGTGAACTCTGCGCATTGTTTCCACTTAATGGGGTCTCTGTGCTCATTTTCAGCCTTTTGAAAACGGACCCCCTGTCATGTCACACAATTCACAGGGAAGCAAAAAAACCTCATGTGCATTTCTGTGGCGCAGCGAGCGCAGTTAGAGTTACACCGCTACAGCTGGAGAGAAAAAAAAGATGGATAAACAGAAAGACAGGGCTAAAAAGGGCTGGGAGCCGAGAGTGGAATATACTGGAGCGTGGGGTTTTCCTTTTCCCCAGTCTCCCTCTGTTTAGTAGCGAGTGATGAAAGGATAATTTTCCCCTTGCCCTTTAAGCGCAGCATTGTCACAGAGTTCAGCGGCTCTAGCGACAGATGAGTTGGAGCCCCCGAGGGCCCCGCTCCAGCCTGCATCTCCTGGGCTTTTTGTTTCGAGGCACTGTCATATGAAACAGACATCTAATAGGTGAGCCTTTGTGTCCGGCCTTCACATCTGCTGAGCCGCCCAGCCCCCAAAGAGCAGCGGCCGAAGACAAACCCAGAAAAGAGTTGACAAAGGAGAGCTGATAAAGGCATGCCGGCAGGTTATTAATTCCCACTGAAGAAGCCCATTCGGTACGCTAACTCAAACTGTTCACAAAGTTGGTTTGAGTACTGTAAACT